ACCTCAGAAAACACCCAGTACTGAATGCTGATACATAATAGCCGTCTACTAACCAGAATTCTACCACTAATAAGCAAGCGCAGAACGAAGTCAAAACGTTGAAATTGAAGAACACAGCCACATTCGTTTGACAGCAGCGACTGAACGGATCAATGCGACAACTGTCTCACACCCGAAATGGTTGTTTTTTCGAAAATTCTCACGTTGCTCATTCATCGCCGAATTACGCAATGGGCGGCCGCTAGAGGCTTAATCCCGGATTGGCAGAATGGGTTCAGAGAGAAGTACCGCACCAACAATAATCCGTTCGTCCTACGCTGCGTCCGAGATTGGGCAAGGGCGCATGGGAAGACGGTTTACGTTGCTGCTATTGATGCCACCAACGCGTTCCCCTCGACGGATCACTGCACATTGTGGCTGAAACTCGCGAGGATGGGAATGGCGGGGCCCGTATCTGACTGGCTGAGGAAGACGTACATGAGCATGGGATATTATGTCAGGCACGGCGATGCAAGCTCAACTGAATTCAAAGCACTTATCGGGTTATTAACAGGCGATCCAGCCTCCCCGGTGCTCTGGAATTTGTTCATGGCCGATCTGGTAATGCTCCCTGATTTGGATGATGTGGTTATGGAGAAAGTTCGCATCGCAATGATGGCTCAAGCAGACGACGTACTGCTCGTGTCCCTGTCTGCAAGAGGACTGCGTACTAAGCTGAACACTCTGCGGGATTGGTGTGCCAAAAATTTCATCCAGATCAACATGCTGAAAACTGTGATACTGATACTTGGCTCCCTCCCTAACCCATTACCAATCTTCATGCTCGGCGACGCTGTCCTTAAGATTACGAACGACGAAAAGTACGTCGGCGTACATCTGCGCACTGACACCCAAAATATCTTCCAAGACCACTATAAGTCTAAAGCAGGCACAGCGCGATACTGCGTGCACCGTATCATGGGAGTTGAGGATAAAACGGGCAGATTGACGCCCAGAGTAATGAAGCTGCTTTATATGGCACGCGTTGACTGTCATCTCACGCACGGCTGTGAAATTTCCCCGGACTGTGAAGATGTACATGTCAAACAACTCTGCGAGGTTCAAACTTCCTTCATCCGCCAGATACTCAACCTCCATGGGCGTTCCATGCTCATACCGCTGTACACGGAAACGGGCATCGTGCCTTTACGTGTCCGACGATTCATCCTTGCGCTTGGATACCTGCAGTACTTACTAGAACTCCTTCCAACCCATTTTGCGCGCGCTGCTTTAAATAGCTCAATCAAGCTAGCTGCCGCGGGCAAAAAATCTTGGGCTAAGGATCTCTTGACTGCAGCTTCCAAACTTCCATTTACATGTGTGGGACCCGATCTTGCAAATGCTACGGCTGCATCCATATTGGATTATGCAAAACTGGTTGATAAACTCATGCTACAATGGATACAAGGTGTTGTCGACTCGTCAGAAAAGCTTTATTTGATACAAGGACGTCGTGAACCACAGAAAGACAAGCCTCCCGCATCGGAAACCCTTCGACTACGGCATTATTTGTCAATGGTGAACACACAGAAGCACCGAGAAGCACTTACCTCGCTGCTCCTGTCAACCCATTTACTTGCCGTCGAAGTGTTACGATATGTGGATCATGAGCACCCACGAGAAGACGACCGTTCTAGGCGGGTCTGCCGGTTTTGCCAGAGTGATGTTGAAACTCCCGAACATGCGCTTTTTTCATGTGATTCATCGCCCGAGGTTGTTTCCCTGAGAGCCATCTTCCTGGAGAAATTATTCACCACAGCACCGAGCTTATGCCGCCGCTTGGATGAAGAAAATTCAATTGATTTCTTCAAATCCGTGCTTTATGAACGTTCAACTGTCGCTCTCCTGGCTAAATTTGCCCATGAAGTTCTTGAGATTTTTTACGCGACTCCATTGTTTCGGATGGGCTGACTGATTTAAAGGTACTAATGTTTTGTTTCACTACTTTTGCTTCTGTTGGTCGACTGGGTTCTACAGCGTGACGGGAAACTGGGTGCGTGAGCTCGGCTCGGGAGACTAATGGAGGTGGGGAACGATGGTGTACATAATACCTGTAGTATACCGGGATACTTCCCCAAACCGGCGTTCCTAAGCGGGACCATGCCGTGTAATACCTACCTACCTACCTACCGCATTTACGTGCCAGTGGTTCATCCAAGGGGCTGTCACCGGCGTTCTCGGCCAAATCCACTCCTCCCTTAGCCTCGTGGGAAGGTGGCAGTGCAGGACCCGACGGGATATTGCAGCAACACGATTTTGGCACCCAGAAAAACTATTGGGCAGTGGGTGAATGCAAGAAGATATGCTGAACAATGAGCCCTGATTTTTCTCCTGTTGTGCGCTAGAATAGCAACGAGGTTTTAAAAAACAGTCAAATCCCTTAGGGTCTTGCACCGCCACCTTCCCACGAGGCTAAGGGAGGAGTGGATTTGGCCGAGAACGCCGGTGACAGCCCCTTGGGTTCATCTGCAATTCACCATGATGACGCCTTTTTCCGTTCAAGAACTCTGCGACCAGATTGTATCCCACCTTTTGGCTGGGAAATCCTCCAGATACCTGAACTCCGCCGCGCTCGTTTCCTCTGCTTTCTGCTCTTCCGCTCAGCCTCATATCTTTCGCGATGTCTTCCTGCATTACGACTCTATAATTGTTGGTTCTGACCGGTCCAAGCCCTTCGACGACATCGCAGCTTGTGACCGGCTCTGTGCCGTCTTAACACATTCGCCCCACCTTGTGAAATGCATTCGCCGTCTCGGTACCCGTGTAAAGCCCGAGCTCTTGGCACCGCTGTCGAAGATACCCTTCTCCCACCTGCGCCACATATACTTCCAGGAAATCGGGGATGTTCACGATCCCGATCTCATCCGCCATTTTACGGGCCTGTCGTCAATCCGCTCGGTTGGCTTCCTGGGAAGGCCCAGCACTTTGAGTGCGGGACTTCTGGCCGCCATTTTCGAGACATCTTCGGTGGAAATTATGGAACTCACGTTTCATACTGTCGCTCTCAGCCCTTCCACCTCCAGCATGGCAGCCCCTTTCCCGAGACAGCGAAGGGCGCTCATTCAGAAGCTGGACCTCCGCAGGTGGGGTGAGGATCCTTCGATCACGCAATGGCTCTTCTCGTCTTCGTGCCCTTTCGACCTGTCTAAACTCGTCGATGTCGCGGTGGAAGAAGCGCAGTTTCCATCTCATGAGATGATTGATTGCCTTGCTCAACCGATCCCGCGAGACCATTACGCGGTTGTGCGTCGACAGTGGTGCGCCATCTCTGCCCACCTTTGACAATTACAAACGCTCCCGTCAGATATGGCCGCGCAGCTCCCCCCTCGACAAGTACACAGCATTGACACGGCTTGAACTCCCCGTGTCGGGCGACGCGCTTCCGCATCTTCAAGCCGCCATTTCGCGTTTGCCAACAGACACCCGCATCGAGGACATTGTCTTCCGCCTCAAACCCATCGGCCTCCGCCAATTCAACCCATTGCTCATTGGAATAGATCCCCTCATCGCCAATCATCATCCCTCTCAGTCTCTCCGCTGTGTTGAATTCAAGGGCTTTGATGCTCCAGACATTGCATTGGTGCGGTTTACAACCCATTTGCCGCTTCTACATGCTCGATATGTGCTTCATTATACGTGCCATACCTGTGCGGATTTGTTCACGACGTCCTGCACGACCTGACCACGATTTTATAATTCAGAATCTGAAATCACGCTTTTTTTATTTGTTTCGTTAGCGAGGGCCTTGCTCATTTCCAGTGCTAGCTGCCAGCAGGGATTTTTGTTGCGTGCGCGATTCTATCATGCTCCTCTTCCTAATTCTATGTTTTGCCACCTGAGTCCACTCCGCGCGAAATACCTCGAGACTCGACTTCTAGAGTGACGTTGTGAACACCGTTCAACTCGGGAGACGGGGTCATTATTTGCTCTTCCTTTCAGAACTTGGATTATCAGCTGATCAATGATCGTTGGTTGAAGGCAGTTTCATTTTTAATGTCGTTTTTAATTCAAAACTCAAGGCCATTGGTTGAACTTTTGTTGAAGGAATAGGTGTCCAAATGGACACACTCCAGCTAACTATGACATATGAGTGGCCGGGTATGAAGTAAGGTGGCGGTCCCTGTTCGACTCAGAGCTGGGTCAACCTGACTTATTTTTATTCTTGGTTCCGGATTTAGGGACCAGGTCTCATTAAGGAATTGTCCGGCTGTATGGCCCCTCGATTACAAATCTTGATCCCATCATACCTCTTTCCATCACATTTTGCTTGCTTCGCATCGACCACCAAACCTTCTAATTCGGTTGCGAGCGACACCACTGCGAAAGTCCTCGTTACGCACTTGTTCCGATCCAATTGCTCGCCGTGCACCGACCATGCTGCCCCCGACCTCTCCACCCTCGTTGAGCACTGGCTTTTTGGGAGTTGAATTTAGAGATGTGCTTTATCCAATTATTGATTTAGATACCATTATGCTAATCACTTACATAAATAACTGCTCTTATCGAGCGTGTTCATAATTGAGGATGAATAATTTAGCTTAGACTCTCGTAACCAGTCTGTAAAACGAATGCCGAAAAAATGCGGCGAGCGCTTCGGCGTTTTACAACCTAAGTGCTTGCCACATATTTTCGGTATTTTGTATACAGACTGGTCACGAGTCTAAAATTGGCTACTTGAATTTCCTCTTCATTTAGTGTACCTAGTATACTCGTATCGTAGATATCGAACGGCGAACGCAGTTGCTCGAGAGGGCCTACCGACTTACCCACGACAATGGTGAATAGAGGACAAAAAGTAAACATACGGTGGCCAGAGCCAGAACCGGAGGAGGAACCATGTTTGCCTGGAGGGCTATGGTATTGCACTCCATCACTGTAATTAGCTGAAAAAAACAAGAGGATTCAGTTTGCAACCTCGAATGGTCGGTATTATTGGTCTTGAGGCTGCTTATTGTGAATGAGACTCAGTGGTGTAATCGGCAACACTCCAGCCAAACCTAGTGATGGTTTGAAGATTAGGCTGGTGATCCCCGTTCGACTCGGGGCTGGGTCATACGTTTGGTTTTATTTTTTATGTTATTTTATTTGCTACCTGATGAATAGCATGAGGGCTCGAGATTGGAATAGCTTCCTAGTAGTGGATATACAACACTTCGGCGCAGCCTCATCTTGTTGAAGTAGTCTCTCCTAGACAAACACTTTAACGGATGGAGCTCGTACCGCGCTTGTTAAATTGTTGAAGCACGTTGAACAGAATTGGGGGGCTGGCAACCCCGCACATGTTCGATTCCGGGCTTAAATTCTGGCCCCAGAGCTCACATTATTTGATGCGAAGATGGGTGTGAATACAGCTCGGTGGTGGAATCCGAGCACTCTACCCGATATTACGCCATAGACGGTACGATTGCGGTCCCCATTCGATTCAGAGCTGGGCCATTTTTTTCTGAATATGTGTATATACCGACGGAGGAAAAAAGGAGCTTCAGCTGAAATTCATCTCGGGTTGTAGGTTTTTCTTTTCTTTTCTTTATACGGGCGTGTAAGTGGTTCATTTGCCCTGAAACACTTTCCGCAATATTCGATGTTGAGGTGAGCCTCAAGAAGACTCGGGGGAAACGCTCTAGCTTGCATTGGCAGCATTGTGTACGAAATGGGTAAGCTGGCGATCGGCTGGGGCATTATTTTCTTTCACTTTTTCTTTCATTTCTCATAAATCATCAATACTTTATCCACCGTTGAGATAAGCTCAAAATAAATCAGTGGTGTAGTGGAAATATTCCAGATTGTATTAACTCTTCTCAGCGTTTACGAGTAGTCTGTTCGACTCGGGCTGGGTCAGTTTTTTGTTGACTTCCCTTTTTCAATGTCGTGAGCAGGTGTTGTGCTGACTTAGTGGTGCAGTGGCCAACGCTCCGGTTGTGTATTGGGTCCTCGCTGAACATATGTGTGTATCATGCCAGCTGAATACGGCCAAAGATAAAAAAAACCTCAGCTGGAGTTCATCTCTGTTTTTTCTCTTTCTTGCACGGGCGTGTAGGTTGTACACCTGAAAATTGTACACACCAGTTGGTGTATATGTGAGCCAAGAAGGACTCGGTGTTATAACGAAAACACGCCAGCTTGCATAGTGCCATAATAAATGTGGGTGGGCTGGCGATCCTTGTTCGACTCGGGGCCGGGTCATGTATTGAGCTTCTTTTCCTTTTTCATTTCAAGTTTCGGAAGCACCTGATTAAATGGTTTGTTGGATTGGGTGCAGCAGGCGCTGCGGCCCTCGCTCCGCTCAATATAAGTGTGCCATGCAGCTGGATCAGCATGGAGAAATAAATAAATACTTCAGCTGGAGTCAATTCGTCTCCGGGGACTGCCGCCGCAGAATTGTCCACAGTATTTATTATTACGAGTCCTAAAAATTTATTTTTAGACTCGTTCTTTTCCAATCTTTTACACCAGGAATTCATCATTTTGGCCGATGACGATTTGTGTAACGTGGGAATTCTCTTGGCATTCTTACGGCAAAATATCTTGGCATGGTAGGCTTTGAATTTGAACACGCCTTGGAGCACGCAGGCATCAAGGAATAGTTTGGTGAACCGTGCTATATTTTTCTCTCATCACCATTGAGCTTCGACAGCCTTGGACGAGCTTGGACGGCGTAATTTACAAATATCGGTATCAATCTAATCGGTAATCTAAGCGAGATCTAATCATAATCTTTCCTGATCACTTCTCTTCCCAAGACCACCCTGGTCTCTTCCAGCACTTCAGCGCCAGGCTGAGCTGCTGAGCGGCGGCGGTTCAGACGCGGCTCGGGAGAGCGCAAGGAGAGCGTGTTGAAAGGCGGTGACCGTCCGTCACGCGCCGTTCCGCTGCGGTCTCGCATCCCCGCACCTCGCTTTGTTTGTCCCTCGCTAGCTCGCACCCTGTGCATGCTATTTATACACTCCCGCCTTGTATTCTGTACTTCCGCTTATTCTTGGACGCTCTGTATCTGGTCCCCAATATATCAGTTGCCTCCTTATTTCTGCGTGACCTGCCAGTTCAACAGAGCGCGGCCATGGCACTCCGACTCGGGTACCGTAAGGCCGCGTGTGCGCAGGGCCTGAACGCATCTTCTGTGGTCCTTGGCGCGAGTTTTGGGGAGATGGACTAGTCTGGGATTTGATAACCGTAGCGAGTACGAAGTGCCTCGGAGCTTGAAAAAAAAGATGGCCGCGGCATGCCATGACAGTTGATGCATCAGACTGATCGAATCATGCCCCTTTGAGACTTTCACCGGAGACGCGTCGACGCGTACAAGTCCACGAGCAAACGCGGCGTGCCCTCGCATCTCCTTCGTTTTCCGCACATCCCCAATGGAATCTACGTCACCTGGTTCTTCTGACCCTCCTGTCAACTCCCTCGCGTGGCTCGACGCGCTTCTCCGAGAGAAGTGTCGCATTCCATACGTCTATCAGCATCAGCTCGTACATGGGAAAGACCTGGTCGATGGACACGATTTGTTCCTTGTTATCGCCACGGGGAAGGGCAAGACAATAATCCTCCACGCGCCGCTTATAGCGGCACAGGCTCGGAAGGAGAGGGGCATAGCTTTCTTGATAGTGCCGACGAAAGTTCTCGCGGAACAGCAGGTGAGTCTTTCTACAGGCAGATGGAATCAAAATGACCCTCAGTATGTTATACAGGCAGAAGTTGCCCAAAGCAACGGGCTCCGCGCACTTGCAATCAACGAAGATTCGGTCAGAGAAGCGGGCTTACAAAAACGCGACCTCTTTGCCGAGTTTGCTGGAGGGGATGGCATTTCCGTGGGCGTCATGAGCCCCCAGATGCTGCGCAGCTCGAGAGTCAACAAGCTGCTGAGTAACCAGACATTCAAGTCTGCCGTACGGTGGATGCTCATTGACGAAGCGCACGTTATTGACGAGGCGAGCGGGACTTTCAAAGAGCCATACAAGGCTATTCTCCACCTTCGTCCCCGCCTGCCCTCCCACACCGTTTGGGCCGCAGTTATCGCCACAGCGACTCCGGTCCGAGCTTTTGCCATAGCCGCCGCACTTGGGTTTCGGAGCAGCCAGTATGTTAATGCACGCTACTCAACGGATCGCCCCAATATCAAATATATCCCCCGTTTTTTTTCCCACGCAATCTCTGGCTTCCAATTCTTCGACTTCAGCTTTGTTGTCCCTTTCGATATGCTGTCGGCGCAGGAAATACTGCTCACCCTCATTTTCGTAAAAACCATCCAAGCTGGTTACCGACTCATGCAGTTCCTCGACACGTTGATCTCCCACAAGATACCCAATCGTCTGGGGATAATAAAACTCTACAATTCCCTCATGCCCCTCGATTATCGGCGCGAGTTTATTGCGGACATCACTGAGGGGCAGACCTTGCGGATCGGCATTGTAACAGGGACCTGCACATACGGAACAGATATACCCACCCTCCAGCGTGTCATAATTGCGCATTTTACTGCCGACTCTTTGGCAGATGGGCCTGAGATCCAAAAGCAGCAAATGGGACGCCCAGGCCGGGATGGAAAGTCGGCGCTTGCGATCGTCTATGCTCCTGCCTGGGTCCAGGAGGTCCCTGCTTCTGAAATCGTCAAAAAGCAGGCCCTCGCCGATCTGGAACGACGCCAGAAATTGCCGGCCGTCACCCGGGAATTTTTCAATCCTACTCCGGAATGTTGCTCTCGTGCTGCCGACCTCAAATACAATGGGGAGCCATTTGTCCTACGTCCTGGCTGCTGTTCCTTGCACGAGCCCGAACCCGAGTGTCGCGACCTGGACATGGTTGCGACATGGATCCATCATTTCAAGCTGGTGCAGGAGGGCAAGAAGACAAAGACGATCCGCGCTGACGGGACTTACCGGCCACTCGACACCCGATTAAAAGGCTCTCTCAAGAATATTCTGGTACAGTGGAGAGCGAGGAAGTATGTCATCATCCGAGGCGAAAGGAGGGGCACATTTGCTGCGATGGTCCTCCCTCAGCACCTCTTGGACCGCATTCTGGACCGGGCACATGCGTGTTCCAGTCTCGACAGACTATGGGGGGTAATGCATGACTGGGATTTTTTGGAGAGATTCGGCGAGGATCTTTTTGCGATTCTGACCCAGGTCATGCCGGAGTATTCGCAGATCATTGATGCTCGTAAGGAGGAGGAAGGTGAAGGTGCCGACGAGCTGTCGCAATCTAGCTGCTCGGAGGACGAGTCTCCGGATGAAGGGGATGCCCCTCTACACATCACTATTCCCTCTCGCGCGCCTCAAATCGAGAAGCAAGGACTCACTATTTCTCTACCCGCTCCAAACAATTCTGCGAGGAAACATTCGGCTTCTGGGCCTCCAGCAAAACCGGCAGACAAACGCCGCAGAACTGCGAACAAAGAAAATGTTCCCTAAGTAGTATATATATATTCATGCTACATATTATTCTACTGCACCTATATTGTTGACTTTGTGTAAATACATTATAATTCACTACGAGTCACCGAGATTAAATTGTGACAAATAAGTAGCTCCCCGATTAAATGAAATGGGGTTGGCAGGCAGCCGCTCGCCGTCGCCGTCGCCGTCGCCATCTCCATCCCCAGTTGCAGTCTCTGGCTGCACCCCACCGCCGGCCCCACCTGTCGTGGTGCGCGCCAAGAACTCCGCGAGTGCTGACCCCACTACAACTTCATAACCACCTGTAAACTCATTCCCAACTACATGCCCCTCCCGCTCCGCTAGGTAGCACATCATCTGGTCATCGCGATAATGGAAACCCATTGTGTTGATGTCGGTCGTCGTGTCGGCTTTCGGGTGCTTGCCATCGTTCCGCTTAAACCCAAACACCCCAGGGAACTCCTCGCGTATCGAACTGATTCCGTGAATATTGAGACCGACCGCTTCACAAAGATCGGCAGTTGGAAATGCCGGCCCATCAATACCGCCGGCAATACCGGCCGTGATAGGTCGGACTTTGAATGTCAAGGGCTTAGCCAAACACGGCAGCTTCGACGCGTGCTCCTCCTCCTTCCCACCACCTCCACTGTCGTACCTTCAA